AAATTTGTAGCACCCTGTATATCTATGTTGCCATTTCCCATCATATGTTACAACTCAACAGCTCCATTATCATCTAATATGGAATTACCGAGTAAAATACGCCAAAGTATCTTCAAAAGCGAAACCTTGAGGGACTCCCGTAATTGAACATTTTTTTATTTGTTTATTTTCACAATAAATTCTTTATGCGTGACATTATTATTCAACGAAAGAATGAAAAACTACATAGAACATTCCCTTTACGCTCTGGCGAACCGTTCCCTCCACCTGTAAACCCGAAATCACAATTATTTACGCCCCGCAATAATGGATCCCTACTGTCCATATGAATCGATTCGTCACGCTCGGCTTGAGCCCGTTTAATCCCTCTCGCAGCCGATTAGGGGGCGCTGTCGCCGAGAATCGGGGGAGCCCCGATATCTAATTGATAAAATATTTCGAATATTTATGCGCGCGGGGTGATGTGAGGGGTCGAGCACGGAGGTAGTTTGAGGGAGGGTGATTTTTCCCTTGACCAATAATTGATTCTGAATGATTACATAAAAATAGGTGGAGAGAAAATATAGAGCACGATTCATATAAGCGGCATGCTTTATAGTGATGGGTCTTGATCTTGCATTTTGTGCAAGATCACTCAAATATTCCTGATAATCTGGCAATAGTACGTCGGGCATCTGCAGCTCCTGGAATAAAAAACTTGAGAATTTTGTTAATGTGCATACCTATAGCTTGTTCGTGGATTGTATTTAAGTAAAATATTTTAACTTCTACAGGGTGGCTAAAAAAAGTGTGAGTGGATCGGGATGATTTTTTTTAAATGGAACACTCTGTATATTATTGCATTTTTTGCTTCCTTTCAGACCACTACATAATCCTAAGATATGAGTAAATATATTTTGACAGTTTCAGATATATTAATAAATAAATAAAAAATATATATATTTTTCAAAAAAAAGTTATTAAAAATACAAGAACTGTCCTAAAATCAAACTATATTAGGTATTTACTTTAGATGGTCTATACTTACTATACTATAAATATTGTAATCTTAACTCATACGGGGTGTTCAAAATTCTACACCAAACTTTCTAAAGTATAAAGTATTTTTTTGTTTTTTTTTTTAACGGAGCACCCTGTATATTATTTTATTATTAGATGGAGAGTTAAAAAATGATTTTTTTTGTATTTAAAGTATTTCAAAATTTTTAATGGTTTCGCAGATACACGCAGTTTTATTTGATATGGGTCTTTCAACGGTAAAATATGAGAGAAAAAACATTGGGTGTGGGGCTGGAAAATGCCATATGAAATATAAAATCGCGAATATCTTCGAAAACGTTAAAAATTTTGACATCCTCTCATACAAAAAATATTAATTTTTTAATTACCCGTCTAATGAAAAAAATAATATATAGGGTGTATCATTTAAAAAAAAAACGAAGAAAAATTATTTTCTGTTTTAGAAAGTTTGGCGTACAATTTTGGACATCCTGTATGACTTACCATATTCTTCTATTTACCATATTCATACCATAGTAAGTACATACCATCTAAAGTAAATACCTAATATAGTATTGATTTCAGGATAGTTCTTGTGTTTTTGAAGAAATGCTGAAAAATATATATTTTTTATTTATTTATTAATATCTCTGAAACTAATTGAAATATATTTACTCATATCTTAGGATTATGTAAAGTGATCTGAAAGGAAGCCAAAAATGCAATAATATACGGGGTGTTCCATTAAAAAAAATCATCTCGATTCACTCACACTTTTTTAGACACCCTATAGAAGTTAAAATATTTTCCTGATTAACATCCTAGTACATACTTTAGGTTTGCACTTAAACAAAATTCCCGAAAAAGCCCGACGCCCTATTGTCGGATCCTGTATAAAATGTAACCAGATAAGGTCCGCATCATATGGGACTTTTTTTATTTAGTATGTTAAAAGGTAATAATTTTGACTAAAAATGACTACAAAAATTATTGCTCTCGGGTATCTCAGTGCTCCCAAGAATCTACCGGGTGCGTCTCAAAAGTGGCTCACCCCTATAACTTTTTTATTTTTTCAGTTAAAAATGAGATTTGGTGTGTTGGTATATGACATAAATTAGGATTGATTGAAGTATTCAATTGTTTTCGGAAACTTCCTGTTTCACCGGAAATTACTACAACTATTGATTTTTAAATGGTACCCTCAGTATTTTTTTACTTTATTCGATAGAAAATAACACTCTGAATAGAATGACATATCATATGTCAACTTTTGACATTTTCACATATGGTTTATTTGAAATTATAACTTGCGGTTCGTAACGAAAATTGACTCGAACTACCAAGTGTGTGATATCAAATTATTGATAGAAAAATGCCTTTTCCAAATATGCTAATGAGCCACCCTCGTTCCATTTGAAAAAATTGAGATATGATTAAAAATACTATTTGAGCATTTTCTGACTGGCCAGGACAAGACACTAAAAGCAAAGAATAATATTATACTTTGCTAAAAGCATTATGACATAATAATAATATCCAATCTATTTTTCCAAGGCTCCTTGATTAAAAATTAGTGTTTTTAACACAGCCATGGCACTCTAAATTGAAATTTAAAATACAATTTTTTATTAAGCGAGTATGTCAAAAATTCTATTATACTATTCAGAATATCATTTTCTATCGAATAAAGTGAAAAAATATCGAGGATGCCATTTAAAAATCAAAAGTTGTAGTCATATCCGGTGAAACAAAAAATAACCAAAAACAATTGACTACGTCAATCAATCCTGATTTATGTCATATACTAACGTACCAAGTCTCGATATTTTATCTGAAAAAAAAATAAGAAATAATATATAGTTAAAAATAATAAATAAGTTATAGGGGTGAGCCACTTTTGATACGCACCCGGTATAGATACAGCCGCTGACTGACAATTTGACGAGAAAAGTCTATTTCAGGTCTGGTAGATCTCGATAAAAGAAACATTTTTTTACCGTTTTTCAAAGAAGTCTACAATAAACGAGTTATTCGATTTCTGTTTGAAAATTTAAAAAAAAATGATTTATTTAAAAAGAAATTGAGAGCCACCAGTTTTTTTTTCGTATTTGCGTCCCTTTTAGTAAATTTAAAAGAAGCTGTACGATTTTCAACATCTCTTTTCGGAAAAAAAAACTCACAGACGTGTTCCTGCGGTCGAAATATACCACCCCTGAAAATATTTGCACTTATTTAAGTTACTTTTATGCCTATGAATAAGGCGTTAATAGTATATTGTTTTATTAGACAAAAAAACGAGAGTAAAAATGACAGTAAAAAGAGTAAAAATGACACTTTTTGTGGCGAGGCTGTACGTTTGACATACATCAGACGAGCCACAAAAAGTCATTTATACTTTGAATAGAGGTTTGTATACTATTTTATTTACAACCACATCATTAATTAAAAAATAGGGACAGTATTTTATTTTGAATAAAAATAAATATGCGAAAATTTTTCGTTTTCTGTTTTGGCATTTCCGTATCTATAGTTACCGTATGGGTTACCGTGGTTGTTATGACGCAAACCTAGGTATATTCTTTGACGCAAACCTTCAACAGCAATACAAACAACCAAGTGACAGTTTTGAATTTCTCGTTCGCTTTTTCGAATTTAAATAACATAGAAAGCCAAAATGTTGTCGGAAAGTTCTGATAATGAAGACTACTTTAATATTGGTACTCCACCAGAACTTACCGAAGCTGCAACCAACCAAGGTGGTATATCCATAAGTGTCAAAGCATATAATAATTCGAATGTAACAATTAATTTGAATAAATAGTTATTTGTTGTTTAAAACTTTTTATTTTAATACTTTTAATACAAAATGTACCTAATAGGACATTGTAGCACCGATTGTAGTTTGCTTAAAAGAGTTTTCTATAAAAAAGTTGCAATTAAGGCAGCATTTTATCAAAATAAAATCTTTAAAAAAATGTTTTCGTCCTAATTTAAAATCTGTATTTATTTCCCGCCCATGGGAGGGAAGTAAACTTTCCACCCGTGGGTGGGAAGTAAAAGTTAGAAACATAGATAAATGCAACAAGTTTAGATTGGAAAGCCCGTAAAAATTTTAGGTCGCGAAATTATTTTGGGTCGCGACCGTTATACGCGATCTAGCGCTGCTATAGCGCGGTCGCTAAGAACAACGGCAAACAAAAACAGAAATAATTTTCTCTTGTCAAAGTCAGAATCTTCAAAAATCATAATCATCTTTCAAAATCTAAACCGCTCTCATTAAAGAAATTCCGAAAAGTGTTTATAGCGTCTATTTTCAAAGTAATTATTGCTATCTTGTGAGTTTAATTCAAGTTTTATTTACTCCAACCGGTGATAATTGTGAAAAAGTGGCATTAAAAACTTAAAAAGCTGTGCTGTGAATTGCGAACTGCAAAAACCATCGTGGATCGTGGCATAACGTCGGTTTTCAATGTTTCATAGGTATTTCATACATGCGTCCTTATATAAAATAAAGTTTCTTGTATGCAACACACTGTATTTTATTTATAAAATTAAACGAAAATAATAATAAATTTGAATAAACAATATTTGGCGATATAGTTCCGGAAAAAGCCGAACCGCTCCGAAATTTTCAAAAGTTTTGGGTCGCGACCGTTGCAAGAATAGCGCCAAATAGTGTTTACATTGTCCTTATGGGCACTTTCCAATCTAAACTTGTTTTATTTATCTATAGTTAGAAAACTGACATTTTCCAACCTTCACAAAGTCGGAAATGTCAACATTACTTATATGGTTGTAAATAAAATGATTTTTTTATATTGTCAATCACGTCACAAAAAATAATACTTTTGTGGCGTTTGAAAAAAAAAATACTTTTTTATATTATCACTCAGCAAAAATTAATATTTTGTGACATTTGAAAAAAAAATTAAAAAATATATATTATTAATATCTGGTATTAAGTACCTACCTACTTTAATATTTTTTCTTTTTTTTTCTAGCTGCAGGTGTCGGCATATGTGGTATGTGCTGTCGGCCGATAAATGACAGATTCCTGATGCGAATCATGGACGTTTCCTACCACGAGCAATGCGTTCAATGTTGCGCCTGTGGAGATCGATTACATCACACCTGTTTTGTCAGAGATTCAAAGCTATATTGTCGATTAGATTACGATAGGTGAGTAAAAACAAGTCGAAACATGTGTATACCTTTCTAATTTTCATGTTAAATCGATTTCTAATTTTCATTTTAATTTGACAACACTACAGTTGTTTATTTACAAGTTAAAGAACATCTATAAGTCTCCTCTAACGTGTATTTTTTTTGTGAAAAGTCTGTGCTTGGACGTTGTCTTTGGACGTTGTGAAACTATTTTTTTTATCAAAGTAAAAAGCCATTTTACAGTTGTCAATTTTACTTGCATTATAGATAACATAATATGTTGATATGTGCTTGCTTACAAGAAAAGTTGTAGCAACTTTTCCCCTAACGCGTGCGCATTCTGCCATTTTTTATATGTTTGTCTCTTGCACGTGAAGATTATAGATTTTATTTTAATTCTTTTTGACTCTTTTTTTTTTGGGAAGTAGCTTTAGGGAAAAAAATGTAACACCGGCCGGCTTTGAACGAAAAAATAGCCTCAAATGGCCGAAAAATCAGTTTTTCGCAAATATCTGCCAAAATATGCAGTTTTTTGCTTGAAATAAAAAATGAAGCTTAGGTAATTACCTACAAAAATGATTCTTATCATTTTTTACGTAGAATTAGTAGTTTTCGAGAAGAATTCCGCCTCGAAGATCATTCAATTTTCTCATTCATTCAAGTATTAACGCTCCAAAGCTTTCACATTGTGCTTCACGGATGGTCATATAGTTATTTCTGAAGACGAATATCCCAGTTACATGATCAGAAAACTCTATGAACGAGGCCGCAGGTCTTCAGATGAATCTCTCGAAATGTGAATACCTTATAGTAGGTAATGAAGACATAAATGACCTAATCTTAGACGCTGGTACGATAAAAGGAGTGAAATCTAGTAAATCCTTGGAATAATATTTAATAAAGAAGGAAACGGCGAAAATGAAATACAAGAAAAAGTAAATAAGAGTAGAACAGTAACCAGAACATTGAACTACCTTCTCTGGAATAAACAAATTAAAATATCTACAAAAAAGCGCATTTATAATAAAGTGTAACCCTCTATATGGTTCAGAAATATGGAATGTTATAAAAGCCAATAAAAAAATAACTTATATGGCAATAAACTTATGGTAACTTGGAAATAGATTTTTTAAGAAGAAGCTGCAGACGATCAAAACTAGAAAGAATAAGGAACGACGACACCCGAATGCAGATGCAAATGGATAGACACGTGGATGCACGAAGACATAGAAAAAAGACAACTAACAGGGTTTGTACATGTGAAGCGAATGAATGTTGACAGATGGTCCAGAAATAAATTAGAATGGACGCCTTTGGAAAAAGAAAGAGAGGACGGCCCAGAAGGAGTTGGCGGGATGACATCAATTATTCATATATAAACATATATTAATAAGCATATCATTGATTGATAGGGCAAATTGTTTAATAACTCGTTTAAAATTTAATATTTTTTGATGATTCAAAATTCATTTAAAAGGTAGAATGAATGTGGTCAACAGCTATCACATATTATTATTTATGATAATCAAAAAAAAACGGGCAAACTTTCCTTAGCCCAAAAATTTTCAGATTTTTACAAACTTATTTATATTTTCACTAATAATAACTTATTTGTCAAGATTTTTTAACAGTCGTTCTTAGAGTATCTTTAAGATCTTTAAGCAACTCAGAAAATTTGAAGAATTTGTTTAATCACATTTTAATAAAAAATAACTATTCGTGATTCGTGCCTTTTCCGCTTTTTTTGGGATTTTCCGAAAGTGTCGTAAACAAAAGAAAACTGAATACTTAATTACAAATAGTCGAATTGGTTTTTTTTAACGAAAAAAAGTGCCAGGGTCATATTTTTAGCTAATGATCCAATCTTCCATTTCACGATCATGAAAATCATCTACATATCATATTTCGGCCAATATTGGGACCGTTTTTTACCGTTTTCTTGAGACTTCAATAAAAAAGCGTCAAGACCTTTTTTGTAGCTAATGATCTAAGCTTTAATATTTATTTCAAAAAATAATTTGCACATTGCATATTTTGGCAGATATTTGCGAAATACTAAGTTTTCGGCCATTTGGAGCCATCTTTTCGGCCAAATAAGCCGACCATGCACGGTGTTAAAACTTTTCCCCCTAATACTACTCCCAAAAAGGTACTCCATCCGCCTAAAAAGTCATGGTCAACAATATTAAGCCGAGGTTTGGGTCTTTTCGTGTCCTTATTTACTGGACTATCATTAAAATCATCAATTAAAATTAAAAAAACTTTATAGCCAATAATTATATAATTGAGGAGAGAGAAGCATTATTTATTTTAAGGAATAACATATTTTAGTAATATTTTTAACTGGGAATCGCCCTGTATAAGGGGCGGTTAGGCACATATCCCTTGTCGCGGCACGAGCAAATATTTGCGGACTCGACGTAACTTTCCGAAATTAGTTTTTGCCGGAGTTGAGAGAGCCGACTTTCGTCCTCGGGACTCCCTCGCCTTAGTTACTTTTGATCGATGAAGAGTGTCTAATTATTTTTTGTTGGGTGACTTTGTCTTAAAACGCCAAGAAGAAAGACGTCATTAGGCCTTTTCATGCAAACAGAAGACGGAGATGGAGTTTTTATTGTTTCCGGTGGGGGGGGGGCGTCTTTTTGTCTTTGGCAGTGGCGAGACGTGGTTCAATAGGAGGGGCACAATATTAGAAAAACAATTGTCACACAATCACGCCCAAAAAAATACTTTTTTGGGGCTATAAGTATGTAGTCGTCATTCGTCGTTCTTGCTACCTCACACCAGTCGTATTGAGGTATTACCTGTCATTTTTTAAATAAACCAATATAATTCCATAAAATCAAAGACCACGCAAAACATATCAACTCGTACTTAAGGATCTTAGGTTGTTAGGCGCGGTTTTACATACTCGGTTCAGGGTGAGTTCAGGTTTAAACCAAGTTCAATATTTTAATAAGTTATTCAATGACTTCTTATCGTTAAAAATAGTTTAAAAGTTAGGTGACGATTGAAAATGAGCCAGCCCTTTTCGAGGATTAAACTATGATTTTCTTCTTACAGTGCCATGCTCCATACAGAGCGTCGGCTACCTCTCGCATGTATTTGTGATGTGTGTCATCAGTATTTCACAAGTACACGAGACCTACAGTTTATCGCCGAATCCGAACGGCACTATTTGAGAGGCTGTACAAGGCAAATATACTTCAGGTGGTTTGCCATTGCCTTCCTTGAGGTGGCGGCTCGCTGGTCGCTTTATTTCCATAAATAAATATTTTTATTTAAATAAATAAAGCGACCGTACTGGCTGAGGATCGAACCCACTACCATCCCATCTCTCGCACCGCAGATCGACACACTAACTGCTTGCGCTACGGCCGGCCACACAATCATCTTATAACCTTATATTACAAAATAATAAATATAAAACAATATACCTATAATGTAGAATGTCTAGGAGGAGGGTTAATCATCACGACCTTACAGATCTATTGTGTGTTACACTATTCCTTGAGTTATCATGGGTTATAACTCATCATACATTCGCAGGGCTTTGCCAAAATCCAGTATCTGAGACGGCTCCACAGAGGCCAGCCACAGAGGCTCCATCTTCGACATCAGCCGTACCAAAATGTATGGCACGAACTGTTGTCGTCTCGGCGCACTCAGTGATTAGGTTTTCTTGAGTTCCCCATTTTACCGACAGAATCTGCAGTCGCCATTGTTTCTCAGCTTCAATCTACTGAGATGTTCGTTGAGGAGACAGTGTCCTGTTAGAAATCCCGTGACAATCCAAAAAGTGTTCTTACTTAAATCAAGGAAAATCTTTCATTTCTCTCGGTCGTAAGTTCTGAGGAAATTTTTCGAGTGTTTTAGACCGTTGGAGGATTTCCATTCCAGATTTCGGATGAAATCCTCCAGGTTCTTCAGTTCCGCTTTAACCTGGTTTCCGCTTGGAAAGCAGAACGGTTCTGGACCAGTTAGTGGAGTTGCTCCTTTTCTAGCTAGATCGTTTGCTTTTTCATTGCATTCTATTCCTTGGTGAGCACCAAGCAGACTAGGAGGACTTTATTTTCTTTGCCTAATTTGTTCAGGTTCTGTAGGCATTTTTTGAACAACTTCAAATTGACGATTACTGAGTTGATCTCTTTTAGTGCTGAATGATTATCGGATAAGATAGCTATTTCCTGTTTCCGATAGTTCCTATCTAAAATAAATTGTACGCATCTTTCGATAGCGTAGATTTCTGTATGAAGGATGCTGGGGTAGGTGCCTATTGGTTCGGAGTATTTAGTTTTCGGCCCAAGTACTCCTATCCCTGTCCCAGCTTTGGTTTTGGAGGCATCAGTATACCACGTTATGGTATGGCTTTTTACATGCTGAGGAAACGTTTCTCTCTTGCAATCCTTTTTTGGTTGCTCAATACTACAGTGCGATATTTCTCAAAGTTGTAAATTCTTGGTATGTAATCCACTTGGAGTTGGAGGGGTAGAATTTTCTTTCTGAGGGTGTTGAGAATTCTCCCAGTACTGAATCCGTCAATGACCATTCTAATAATTGTCTCATTGGCTTAACTATCGACGACAATGTGCCGTGGCGTTAGGTCTAGGATGACCTCCATTGCTGCTATTGGGCATGTTCTCATAGCGCCTGTGATGCAGATCCCATTCTCTGTACTTTACACAGTATTTGGCTTGCTGTACGTTATAAGAATATACCTAAATAGAATTGCTGAGTTTAGCATATTTCAGAGTACTATGTTTGTACAACAGAACAGGGCTTGAAAAATATTAGCGCTTTTAAATATTAGGTTAATGTCATTATACAGGGTGAGTCTTAAATAGAGGTCTGTAGGTCTGAGGTCTTAAATAAGTGCAAATATTTTCAGGGCTGGTAGATCACTATAAAAGAAACATATTTTCTCTTCATCGTTTTTCAAATAAGTCCCAAATGACCGAGAGACCTTCAAAAATTTCCAAAAAAATTATTTTTTGCTAAAATTGTCATAACCACTC